GTGCAGCAAGGTGGCCATGGACGCTGCTTGTATCGCAAAGACTGAACTCTGAGCCTTGAGATAGTGGGTTGAGAAGATGATCACGTATGGCTTCGTGGGTGAAAGCAATCTCGTCGTTGGCAACGCAGAGGAGACCGCATGTCAGTTCCGGCAAAGCTTGTATGATATCGGTTGTATGCGAATCCTCGTGGATGTCGGGCTTGTATGCGTTCAGCGCAGCGTGTAGTGCCCCCGGACACATGCGGTTGATCGGGAAAGACAACCATCGAAATGTGTCGGCGATGACGCGTTTTTCTGTTGGTGGATGGCGCGCTAATGCGTCAAACATGATAGTGAAGAGCGCTTCCAGGCCCTGTATTGAATGCACCCCCTGGAGGATATGCAGTCGCTCGTCCGACGACAGTAGCGGCGACTGAAGGAATTTCAAAAACATGTTGGCCCAGAGAAAATCGCCATTTGCCGTCCTCGCGACTTCCGACATGAGCCTTCGATCCATAGAGATACCGAAGAAGCCCTGATCTGCTAGGCGGTTCATTTCCGGTACCACAAATCGATCGATAGCAACAGTATTGTGTTGACCGGTAAGCGAGAGAATATGAGGAGCATCTGAAGCCCATTTCTGATACTCAAGCGATATCTTCAAATTTGGTCTGCTGAAAAGGATAACTCTTGTGTCAGATCCACGACAGAGTCTTGCTAACGATGCAAGGAGCGTATCTGTATCGCTGCACTCATCGATGCCATCAAGTACAAGGAAAGTGGGGTGCTGCCGAAGTAGAAGCAGAAGAACATCGAGCACTTCATCAGAGGTGGCATGCTCTCGAAAGGACGTCTTCCGCAATAAGAGGCTGACAGTATCCAAAGTTGACCGGTCGTGCCGACGAGCGTGAAGTAGCTGGCATGCCATAGCCCGGAAGGCATCTTCGGATTGGTTGTTCTCGGATAGAAGGTGATTGAAATGATAACTTGCAGTGGCCGGCGGTTCGTCGCACAGATCAGGGTCGTCCGCTTCACCAGCTAGATTTTCAACGACTGAACGCGAGATGACGGTCTTCCCAAAGCCGGATTTCGCTGAGTTTTTGTCAGTTTATAGAAGACTTGAATTATGCGCGCGGCGACTTACCCTGCACAAACAGTACGCGATGTTGCCAGTTGCCAAGTAAAGTTTTTTGGTCGTTTGCCATGCTGCTCTCAAAGCGCGAATTCCTCCATTGGGCGTATGCGGCGACACGCAAGAACCAAGCGCAGGACTCTTGATAAGGTTGTTGAGTACCGAGCGATCTCATTGCAATCGAGGTAGAAGAGGACAGCCAATGCTGTACTTTCTCCACTCTCCTCAATCGCTTCGCGAGCCGTTGTTCATCTTGCTCCACACGACCGTTGGCTACGGATCCGTTTTGGCGCTGCAAAAAGTCGATATAACTTCTGCGGTGCTGTGAGACGTCCGCGTAGTATTGAGTCTGGTTCGCGGTTTCTGTTTCTAACCACCTCCTGTGCTGGCCTAGCCGTGTTTCAAGGTGGGCAAACCGGGAATCGAAGGGTCGCCATAGTGTCTCACTGTGGAGGACGTTCGTACAACTGATGGATGTACTTTGTGCCCCACGACAGAAGATACAGTATAGCTCCAAGAACAGCTGTACAAGATCCGCATATACGTAAGACAGAAGTGCAGCCAGATGACGGTCTCCAGCCTCGCCATGGGACTCGGCTCCGTTACGCTTGCAGATGTTGTAAACTTCCTGATAAGGTGGTATGATTTGCGAAATAGCTTCAAGAACATCGGCAATTTTCTCCAGGACAAGCACGCAGTCACCGCTCATCTGCTTCCGTGTTAGTCCAAGTTGTGTGTCAAATGTACTACATGCATACCTTGAAGACTACACGAACAGTTGCCCAGAAACAGCCTGCCCATTCTGGCTGCAATTCGACGCATGTGCCAAGCACATCGAAGTAGGGTGCAAAGGTGCGAATGAACAGTGTAAACTTTCGACTGCATACGACTAGTCTTCGGTCTGCCGACCCATTGCCAGCGGAAGTGCGACGGAGCTCTTCGAGTAGAAGTGTTGAGCTGATGTGATGATCGAAATGCTGACGATGTTCTTGCAGTATGGTGTTGTGTATTGCTTCTATGGCGTCATCAAAGAATGGATGGTCCAAGCTATATGATGTTAGCTACATCCAGGCCACCAGTGGTAGACTAACCTCGAATCAACCATTGCTACGTCCATGTTTTGAGCCTATTGCGACAGTTCTCGGATGGAATCGAACTTGAGCGCAGGCGTCTTCTCTGTAACGAATGCATTGGCACAAGATGTTAAAATGCACGTTGGATAATTCAGAGCGACGGCCACATTGTAAAGGCATGGAAGCGACAGGGGCAGCGGTGTGTTAATGTAATAAGCATTCAACGTGCTCGTTCTGATGGGACCCAAGCGAGAGCAATTACGGCCCTGCATGGAGCCACGGGAGAAGAAATGGGCGTCGTGGGGCTGAAAGGTCGCGGGAGATAAGCGGGATGTGTAAGAACATGGTGAGTGAGTACCCGTCGCCACGCATGTCATGCCCCGGACACAAGGGAATTGACAGGCGTGGGGGAGCAGACTTGAAAACGTGGGCGAGACGACAGGCCCATGCGTCAAGTCGCAAGTGGCAGATCGGAGCTGCATGCCGACGGGCGGGTAATCCCTTGTTCGTAATGAGTAAAAGAAACTCAAAAGGAACGTCTTTCAAGCGAGGCGTGGATCATGAACGAATAACATCTTGGGTATCTCCTCCAACGAGCTACATAGCCAACTGCTCGGCGCAACGGGTCTATAGTACAAAAAGTATTAGAAAGCGAGGTACTAGAGCGAATGCCACTAAAATTGTGGCTACCTGACTAGGCGGATGCGGGCATGCCGAGCCGAAGCGCAAGCAGCGCACGCACATCGGTGACATACTGCAAGCCTTCGAGCAGCGGGATGAGATGCAGCAGATCGTGGTCTGTTGGGTCGCTAATCCAGCCTTCGATGGGAATGGCATTGTCTGGATACACAATCAGTACGAGCACAAGTGGGCGCACTGGACGGAGGGTGAACTTACCAGGATGGAAAACGTAGCTCAAGGGGCTGTTATCAAGAATCATGACTTTGCTGAGATCGGGCTCGACCTGAGCAAGGTCCTTGATATAAGCCCCGTTGCGAACAGTGCAGTGCTGTCGATAGTACCTGCCTGCAAAATACTTGCGCTCCACCTCCAGCCAGTCGATGACGGGATCTGCGTATTCCTGTACCGAGGCGGTGAATATGATCAGATTGTACCACTTACTAACCTGGTAGTTCCGTTAGTGTGGCATCAGGCGTGCCTGGCTGATGTGCGTACCTTTTTCAGAAAATCGTCGCAATACGGCCGTTTGTGAACATAGTATAGGAGCGGCACCTGGGGACCGATAACCTGCCCGTCGGCACCGACAGATGCCTGGAGCTTGACCTCTACCATGTGGCCGGTCTGGAAGCGACCGCCGTTGACTATGCTGTGGATCAATGTTTCATCGAGATCGATGATGAGCGTCTTCTGGTGCGGCCCGACAGCGGATACGCCTTTAGCGGAGTACGAGGGCTGGCGGCGTGGCACGAGGGGGCGCGGGGGTTGGGGCGCTCGTGGGAACTTGGTCAATTGTTTCGAAGACGCGGTTGCCGGCCCAGTGGGGGACTTGAGGGAAGCGGCAGCCTCGGAGGAGACGGAGTTACTTTTGGACGATTGGGCCTTTTTCGCTGCCTTGCGTTGCCTCAAAGCGTCCTCATTGTGATGTAGCGTGATGCGTATCGACCTCTTGGCCGGGGCGATTTCGTCTGCTCGTGCGGTTGCGCTGGATTTGGAGCGGGTGTGGCGCGACGGGCTGTCGGTGTCTGGATCGCGTGTAGGAGATCGCTCGCTCTCCGAGTCGGACGTCATGGCGGTCGAGGTTGATGCTATCGACAGTGATCGCCTCGTGGGTTGTTTCATGACGGGCTGCGCGACACTCGAACTGCGACTCTTGCGCGTTCCCTTTTCGCTACGGTCTGGGGCAGCCGAGGCTCGTGAAGAGTGCGCCGCAACCTTTTTCCGACGTCCGCGAGTGAATGTCCGCGAGATGTGGTAGATCGGGGCGAGAAAGGAGAAGTGGCCATCCTCTTCGTAGTAGAAGGCGGCCACCAGGCATTGCCCCGTATAGACAAAGGGGGTTGCGAGGACGCCCACGACCGCGACGATGCCGTCGGATATGCGCGACGGATACAGCCATCTCCTTCGCCGCTTGGTGTCTTCGTAGGGGCCCTCCTGGGTTTTCTCGAGTAGAGGTGTCTTTTCGTCGTATCCGGATGCGACCGCTTCCGTGTTCGAGCAGCCGGAGCCGGAGCCGTCACTCCTGTCGGCGCCCATCTTGCGCGTCTCTCTCTGTGCAGCTATTGCACTCGCATCGTCAGCGGGAGATGAGATCGAGGGCCGAGGTTGGAGAATGGCGAAGGACTGTGGGGTAGCCTGGGTGCTGGGTGCGCTGATGCTTATGTCTGGGATGACGGTAGGACCTCCGTGACGGTGATGGTGGGGCTGTTGGGAAGAGTGTGCACAGCGACAGCGCAGTCAAGATGCTCGTCCAGCACTGGCGAAACTAGCAGCAGGCCGAGGCGTGACTTTGTCGAGAGAAGACGGGTATGCAGCTAAGCAGAAGGTTGGGGACATGCCAATGACGAACCGCTGGAGAGCCCGTGCCCAATCGGAACGCTCAAAGCTCAATTTAGTTACGACTCACACTTTCCTCCACCAAGTCTTGAACAAGCAACGCTCCCCAACAGTGCCTTACAAACAAAACCCGCGTGGCCGATACTCTGAACCCCTAAAATTATATTGGTTGTCGGGAACCCTTTCAAGCGCACTCAGACACCCGCAGAGTCATCCAGGAACAACCCCACCACCCCACATAACTGCTATATACCGTTCGAAATCTTGGGACGCTCGAGTACAAATCTGCAAATACTCCCACGATGCAGGGCGCGACGGTACAGGCGCCGGGTCTGTCAACCTACCTGAAGTCACTAAAGAGTACTCCAGTGGACGCCTCGGTGGAGCATTTCATCTCGTGAGATATGACTATCCGCGCAGTAGCGCAACCACAACTAATATTCCCACCTCAGACTTCTCAAACGGCGACAAATACGGAACTCGAGACCATGTGCCATTGCGACGACAGCCCTTCTTCTGCGCGTGGTAGGCGAGTTCAAGGGCAGGGATGCCGCCAAGCTCATTGAGCGCATAAAGCAAGTCGGCAGGCGGTTGACATCGGCGCAACCACACGAGGTGGTGGTGGGAAACATCGTACGGCGCGTACTGGGACTGGTGCGCGAGGTGGTCGACGAGCATGCCGAAGGGCAAACACCAACAGGCAGCGAGCCAGGCTACTCAACACCACATGCACACGCGCAGCACGACTCTCTCCACAGACCAGCGCTCAACTCAAGCATATCCACATTCAGCCCTCTCCGGCATGCCGTTGCCGAACCCATGCCCACGAGCGTCTTCACCGACAACGCCTCTGACGTTAGCGAACCCTCGAGACGGCCCCCGTTGCTCACCTCACATACGTCGTACGCGCCTACCTCGTCCGCTCCCCTCGTCCACTCGCTCTTCGGCCTCTTCTCCCAGCCAGCAGATACACCCTCAACTACAAGCACCCCTACAGGGCAGGCGTCGCCAAACGGCAAGAGCACGCTGACGGCACTCAATTTGGAGCGCCTCGAGGGCATCAACAAGAGCCAAAATCTGGACTTGAAGGGCGAAGTCATGGAGGGCATAAGAGAACTTCAGGACGAGCTCGAAACCTCAGACAAGCAGATTGCCGAAGTCGCCCTCGAGCACATACACGCCAACGAAATCATCCTCACCCACACCGCGTCCACAACAGTCCAGAAGTTCCTTCTGTTCGCCGCACGAAAACGCAAGTTCACAGTCGTGCACGCCGAGACGTATCCCCACGACCACACTGCCACGCATGGCATCCTTCTTACAGGAAAGAAGCGAGAGGCGAATCCAGATGACGACGAGGACGACGACAAGTGGAAGCCCCTCACCGATGCTGGCATTCAAGTCTACGTCATCCCCGACTCCCACGTCTTCGCCATAATGTCCCGCGTCAACAAGGTCATTCTGGCGACCCATACTGTGTTAGCCAACGGCGGTCTGGTAGCCGCAGCTGGAGCACACATGATTGCAAAGGCCGCAAAGGAGCACCAGACACCTGTTGTCGTACTCAGCGGTGTATACAAGCTCAGCCCAGTCTACCCATTCGACATCGACGAACTGATCGAACACGGTGACGCCGGAAGTGTAGTTCCCTACGACGATGGCGAATTCGTTGACAAGGTCGATGTTGAGAACCCACTATACGACTATGTTCCCGCAGACCTTGTGGATCTCTACATCACGAACCTGTAAGTCGCGATTTGAACAGCTCGATGCATTGAATGTAAGCTAATGTCTTCTAGTGGCGGACACGCACCTTCATACCTCTACCGCATCGTAGCAGACCACTACCGCACCGAGGACATCACCTTGTAATTCAACCATGAGCCACGGCGTTATGATACCAACAAAAGTTAAGATGGGAAGCAAAGTGCGCACAATAGCCCATATTACATCATCTAGAGCAGGAGATTCTGCGCTTGCAATCATGCAGTGGCCGGACTCAATGAACATTACTACCAACGTATCACGCATTGAGCTCCAAGCACGTATGCGACCATATTCATCATCGCCGACCCGTGCCCTCGCCCTCTGCCCGACCAACTAACATCTCCTACACACCCTTCTTCTCAATTGGTCGCGTCTTTGTGCCCCTCTGCACGCACCCGTATCCCGCAGATCACCGACCCAATTCATTGGTCACCTAAGCTCTAGCAGTGTGCCCTTCGGCCATCTGAAATCAACGGTTTTTGTCAAAATTACCACGTTGGGCAGTTTGGCGGTCCGTCAGGGTGGGCCGGCGGGGCGGAAGGGCACAGTGGCGTTTTTAGTAAACAAGTACGGAGTCGCGATGTGCCCTTCGAGCCCTTGCGCGTGGGACTCGTCTTACTTTTGTTGAGATTTGGCCGTAGGCGCAGACACCTCATACCCAAAGCGCCTGATGAATTAGGCTAGTTTGTAGAAGCGGTACAATTGTTCTTCGCGTATTCTAGCTCCAGCTCCCTCGAGCTGGGGTATGCGGAAGAGGGGTCGATGTCCCCTCCACATGCTCAACTGAGCCTCGCTATCGCCATCTACACTCAGGATTACGTGTGCACATCCATCTCGATTGCGCGCGGAGAAATAACAGCATGCGACAAGTGCTGGCCGTTGCCCTCTTCGGAAGCTCCTCAAGGTGATAACGTAGGGCTTATCGTGGGCGCCGGGTCGGCTGTTGCTACATTACGTATGCGGGCGCGCATCTTGTGGAGCTGAGTTGATAGAGTAACACCCTGAACTTGACCGCCTGGCCACAGAAGCAGTGAAGGCGTCGTCAAGGTGCATCATGTCGTTTCTCGAACTTGGGGGGTTGCATGTGTTCGTTACCGGGGCTGCCGGAGGAATTGGTAGTGCGATTGTAGATGAGTTCCTAGGTATGTCATGGTCTTGTGCCTTTGATGGTTGTCGGAGAGTCTTTGCACATTGAGTGAAGCCTGCAGGTTCCATGGTAGGCTCAGGGTCTCTGTCAAGTCACCCTGCGGTGGAAGGCACGCTCTAGGGCTTCGGCCTACACAACAAGGAATCAACGCTATCATCTCAATTGATATTTTTGCTCTCATGCAACCGTCACTAACGCCTGCATAGCACAAGGCTGCAAAGTTACTGCACACGATCTTCGCCCAAATCCTCTCGCCTCAACAAACCCCAACCTCCACTGCGTCCAAGGCGACATCAGTTCCGAAGCCTCCATCCAGGACTCCATATCCCAAGCTATCAACCATTTCTCACAGCCTATCAGCATTCTCTGCGCCAACGCAGGTATCACAGATGAATCTTCCAGCTATCCTATCTGGGATATGCCCAGTGAGCTCTGGGACCGTACCTACGCTGTCAACGTGCGTGGCACGTACCTGACCATTAAACATTTTCTCAAATCCATCGAGAAATCACAAAGTGACACTGGCAAGCAAGTTGAAAATGTCAGTGTCGTGGTGACAGGGTCCGAGTGTGGAGTCTTCGGTCAGGCAGGTCATGTGGAATATGCGAGTGGGAAAGCAGGGCTACAATACGGTCTTGTGAAGACAGTGAAGAACGAGATTGTTAGGCTGAATAAGAGCGCGAGGATCAATGCCGTCGCGCCCGGATGGGTGGAGACCAAGTTGATTGAAGGGAGGTTGGACGACCCAGGGGAGATGTGGAGGGAGGCAGAGGCTACGTGAGTCTGACGCTCATACTGACTCTCCGACACCTTGTTAACGATTGCAGTGTGCCGCTCAGGAAAATTGCTCAGCCGACCGACGTAGCGAGAGCAGCTGCTTTCCTGGCAAGCCATCGCGCTGCAGGTCATATCTCCGGACAATGTATATCTGTGGATGGCGGTATGGAAGGTCGCATTGTGTGGTCCGAAGACGAAGTTCGCAAATCACAGGCAACTGCTGTTGAGCCCGAAACACCATCTCTCAACGCGACTGGTGAGGCCGAGATATTTGGTACCGCAACCGAAGGGGTCTCTCTAGCTAGTAGAACCACCTCAGCAATGGCTATCCCGACCATGTCATCTCTCGGCAGTTCTCAACCAACACAGAAGCCGAAGATCAAGATCCTGCTCTCTGTGGATTTTGATGCAGTATCGGGCTGGCTTGGTACTGGCCAACACCCCGACAATAACCTAGCGGACTACAGCACTGGCTTCTTCAGTGGCCATGTCGGAGTTCCACGACTACTCAAGCTCTTCGCAAAGCATGGCATCGCAAACAAAGTAACCTGGTTTGTGCCTATGCATAGTGCAGAATCTTTCCCAGAAGAATTTGCCGCCATCAAGAGCAGCGGTGCGGAGATAGGCTTACACGGTTATTGCCACGAAGGCGCCCCTCAGCTTACGCCCACCCAAGAACGCGAAGTTCTCGAGCACTGTATAAGTCTCTACCAGGAACTACTAGGAAAGCGTCCACTGGGCTATCGCGCACCGCTCTATCAGCTCCGCGAAAGTACCGTGGAGTTACTAGAGGAGTACTCTTTCCTCTATGACTCCTCGCTCTCCCACCACGACAGCAAACCATACTACCTCCCCAACCTCCCACCCATCAAAGCGCCAAAGTACACCGAAGAGGCCTCCGCGAAAGACTGGATGAAACCCCTGCCTAAACCCAGTGCCCCCACAGCCAAAACTCTCGTCGAGATTCCAGCAAACTGGTACACAGAAGACATGACGCCTCTCCAGTATCTCCCCAATGCACCCAACTCGCACGGCTACGTCGACGTTCGCGTTATGGAGAATATGTGGAAGGACAAGTTTGAGTGGATTAAGAGCGAGATGCTTGAGAGTCGTGGAGAGAAAGATGTAGTCGTTTTCCCGTTGGTCTTGCATCCGGATACTAGTGGTATGGCGCATGTCATCGGCATGATTGAAAGGGTGATTAAGTGGCTGAAGGCGTGGGAAGGAGATGTGGAGTTCTGCACTTATGAGGAGGCGGCTGGGGAGTGGAAGGAGAAGAACGCTGTAGAATAGAACGGGACGCATTGACTGAGCCGTCGAAATCGTCGGTTCCATGATTCCCTACCCGATCTATTCTGAACTGTTTCCGTCATACAGTCTAATCACCCGTCCATCCTGCTCCGCCGCTTCCTCCCACGGTTCATCACCACCTACTCCAATACTCTTGACGTTCAGCGTAATGAGGCTAGAGCGGAAATCCGACCGTGCAGTTAGTCTAGGTGCCGTCTCTACATCGTCGTATCCCTCAGATGGCGTAACGAGTACCACTGTCTTATCCTCAAGTGTCTGATCATCCATGATGACGAATTCCGAGCCTACGATACCCCGTTCAGCGCCGTCGAATTGCCACGCGAACTTGACGAGATCGTCCAGTTTCCAGGTTAGGAACGGGTAGGAGAGGTTTTGCGGCACTGGGGCGCGCGTGGGTGAAGTGAGTTTGGTAATATCGGTAGTGGCGACTAGTATGGCTGGGTGTTATGAATTAGTAAGCTTTTTGCTTGACAGTGTGCTGGTTCCGTTTACCTATGTGAGTGCATTCTACGGCCTTCAGCTCGGGCGCCTCGAACGCCTCAACGAAGAACTCGTTAAGAAGCTGAGAATGATGTCAGTTGTCTGCATCTTTTGGGGAAATGGACAGTGGTTATAACATCGTGAGGTATCTTTGCTGTGCAAAATATGGGAATAGTGTTGTCCAGTTGGTCGTTGTTCGCCATAGTGCACGCTGCTACCGATTTGGGTTCGCCCGAACTCGATCTGCTTCGACCTCGCTCTTCTGCCCACCTAGTCTATATCTTCGACAGTCGAAAAGCCATATTTGGGGACTTCGGAGAAAGAAAGTCGATGTGTGTTTGTATGCAGTGGATTACAGTTGTTGCTACCTAGGTACTGCTGATAGCTTTAGCCTGAAGTCGAACGATCGTGGCTTTAGACAGCCGGATTCCGAATGCTGCACTCTTTGGGTATCTCGATCGCTGATTGTTCACTTGCAGAGCTCGACCGAGAGACCCTGCTTATGGAATGCGATACGTACAGTCTGACCCGTCATTCATCCGATATGCAGAAGGTTTGGAAGATGACTACGGCTTTGTGGTGGGGTTAGCCATAGGTACAGGTGAGCGCAGTATGAGAAGTGGGAAGAGAGACATCATGCGATCTACCTAGGTAAGTTTGGGTTCTCAGCTACTACATTATTTGGACAGTGCACCTGTCTTCGCATTTGCTTAATCAGTGACCGTTTACATACTTCTCTGCACCGCCTCAAATCTCAGTCAATCCACCTAAAGAGGTCCTCCTCACATTTTCCCTCCTGAATGTGAATGGAAAGAGTACTCTTTCCAAAAGCCAACTCAAGAGTGTCGGCGATTTCATGGTGGCTGTAGTCATAGCGCTCTTCGCCCTCATCAACATGATTAACCACGATAACATGCTGGAGTGATGGAAGAAAGCCGATGTACATGTCATCTCCACCCGAATACCCAAGAGACTTGCCATTATAGACGTCTGCGAAACAGCACCAGTCCTCCACCTCGTTACCGCGCATCTGAATTGATTGGATTGAGTTCCAAAGGTCTGAGTTAAGAACAACATTGCTCTTCTTCAGCTGACCTAGGACAGAGGTGCTGACTTCGAACACAGCCATTGTGTGGAAAGTTGAAAATGTTTCATGGCGGAGCTGGCGGCAGGTAGACAATAGTGCTAGAGCTCCTCGGTGATGACGATAGAGAGAGTATGTGAATAAGCGCGGCCTTTTAACGCGGACTTTAGTGTTTGTGCACACTAGATCGTAGATTCTGTTGCGGAGTTCGGCGGGGAGACGAAGTAGAGGTGAATCGCGCTGGTTCTTGGTTGTCCTGGTTGTCCTGGGAGATCAGTAAATGAAAAACGGCGGGATTTGATTTGCTTACTTGTCCTCGAAGACACTAAGAGATCTCAAGGTATCGACGTCCATGATTGTGGATTAATGTGGGAGTTACGTGTTGGTCGGCACGTCCAAAGGTCGAAAAGTTGTAGGACCTGGGTGGAGACGAGCAAACGGAGCTAGCGCAAAGGCAGACAGTCTCACCTTGATTATCTGGAGCACAGTCACAACATCGGGCAGGTACAGGCGATGAATCAGAAGCAAGTAGATTGTCAAAGATGACGATTTTGTCTTATTGGAAGTTCGCTTTAGCGTCGCTGCATAAACAAAATTTAGACCTTCACACGACACAATGATCGGAGATCATGAATACGTTGCCGCATTGATGAGATGCTTATAGTAATGCCATAAAATAGTCTCTAACGATGGCCTGAAAATTCCAATAAGATCATATGTTCACCTTCACACGATGTTATCAAGTAGGCTACCATGGAATAGTTCTCGTGTTCGCGATACGTCTTTCTCGAAAGGACCTGATTGGATGGGTGTAATGTATAGATTTCGGAAGTCGTGACTCGCTCCGTCACTGCAATACCATAGGATGGAGTTTTCTACGGACTCCGGCCCGTAACTGTCGAACTAACCATAGCAAAACAGTCATATGCCTACCAAAGTACTGTTCAGCCATTTCACTCACCTATAGTTGGCCATAGTGATATCAAAACCTAGCGAGAGATGGGTAAATCGCCTCACATTAGGTGCAAGCTCCTCTTTCCACTCTTTCCACTGATGATCGTCACCCCTAACTGCATGCAGTGCGCATTTTTCGACCTCTCTCTGGAGAGGATCAGAGAGCCTACTGACGACATTATTCGCGGCAAGCGTCCAAGCGGTGGGGTTATGATGATATGTCTCATAAGCATACTCGATTTCGACGCATAATCTTGCCAGAGACGCACGAGGTAGACTTCGGATGAACGAGAGTGAGGGTCGGTACTCGGTATCGCAGAACTCGTCACATGGCGGGACTCTGAGTTTCATTTGGATCTCAAGTTGTCGCAATGCAACCATGCGTGGGAAGAGATCAACTAATGTTTTGTACTGCTCGGTTTCCTCGTCGAAATGCAGAGTCTCGATCAAGCCTTCCGTTTGGCGAAGATTTAATACAGTTAGATTCACTACTGAAAGAAATCTCGCGCGGATAAGTGCGGGAGCGTGGCGTATCTTGACCTGTCGTGTGACGCCTTTGACGTGAGGAAACTTGTAGCGCATGTCCAGGTCCATGTTGAAGCGAGCCAGATGATAGAATTCCTCGGTAGCCTCCTGGTACATCTGCTTGCTCAAGCGCATCCATGGGATTTGTGCTTTATAAGTATCTACAATAGGTCCCTTGTGAATATGATGCGTTGCTCTTACCGGAGTCTTACCGTGCATAAAGGCAGCGCTGAGATTTCCGAGTGCGTAGCGATAGATCTCATCTCTGATCTCGCGCGGAAGGAGCTCAAAGAACTGACACAGTGTATCTTGTGGATTACCCACATCGGTAAGACCTCTGGAGGCAAGGGCTTCATCTTGCGAAGTCAGATGGCAACTGGATTGCCTATCGCTAGGTGCGTCGCTCAGGATATTCAGGGTGTCTTCCAGGTGGGTCGAATAAGCGATGCGTCTCAACTCTCGTGCGCTCGGCAAGCGGTGGATTTCCATGGGCATGTTGTGCTTCGAGGTGGTTGAGGAGGTGGGATATTGCTGCGAAAGAAGCGTGGATTAGAGCTGGAGCAACTGAAGGGAGATAGGCGGGTCGCGCTGTATAGGAGTAGCAATTTATATCCTCTTGTGAAGATAAGTAAAACCCAAGCGATGATGGAGAAGACAAGACAAGAGATTAGACCGATTTTATAGTTCAGCTTCTGTACGAAGCCCCAGGCTACAGTCCCAAAAACGGCTCGGAGTTTTCGCGCTGGATCAATCAGGCGCCAGCTAAGCCTCGTTGGAGGCACGTGAGACTGCATTTCGTTGGTGGAGAAGATCTCGAGAGGTAGCAAAAGGCTCAGCCGCCCATACTGGATGGAAAACCACCCTCGCAGAAGATTGTAGAACATATGTAGAGAATTAAAGACATTACTATCATGGTTGCAAAGTCGAGTGAGACAGTCGAAGATGATGCATGCAGGTCCAGCGCGCTAATCCCAGGGTCCAGGTCCAGATCTCCCCCACAAACGTCGTCATCCGTTCCGCCGACCCAAACAGTCCAACAACCCGGTTGCCTTGCCGCACGCGCGCAGGCAGCCACGAAAGACCACCTTTCAATCACCCGGTCTCTGTTAATACGTGATCTCGTCTCGTTTAATCCTTTCACACACAACATACACTCAAGTCCCCGAATCCTTCAAGCCCCGTACCAACTAGCGCAAAAGACACAGAAAAAGATGGAGAAGCTCAAGGAAGCCGAGACAGTGGCAGCGCAACGCCTGCGCAAGACGTTCAAGTACCCGTCCGAATCCGACGATGAAGATACCGTAGAAGCGGGTATGGATGAACAAGGTACCCTTCGCTCTACTCCATGCCTCATCCCCGCCTTGCTGACAGGACTACACAGACCGCGCAGCCCTCCTCCAAACTCTCAGCACACACGACACATCCACGACGCACACATATACGCTCTTCCTCCTTGCGCTACCGTTACTGCCCACACTCCTCTACATCCCGCGGCTATTCGCCCTGTCCACCCTCCCGATCAGTCTAGTCTCTATCGCGAGTCTGCTCGCAACAGCGTATACGTTATACTTCCTGCCGCTACCACCGACGCAAATGGAGCCAATCGATGGTGTGGACGTCACACCCTCCACACTTCAACAACCCTTGAAAGGGAAAGGACAGACCAAGAAACCTTTAGGTGGATATGGGATCTACAACAAGACACCGTCGTGGGAACAACCGACTGAGAAGAGTGTAAGGCGGCCTGTACCGTACATCTCGGAAGAGGCAGCAGATAAGATAGCGGATTCTATTGTGCCAATCAACAGGGCCGTTTGTGGGCTATTGGCGTTGTATGAAGTCTGGCAAGGGCGTGGCTGGGGTGAAGGGCTTATGGTGGGAGGAGGCTTCTTGCCAGGCGTAATCTGCATGATCATCTTGTGGGCGAGGACAGAGTTGAGAATCATCGACATGGACTCGTTGGAGAAGATGAACAAAAGTGCTGCACAGGGGAAAGCAAATTGAACACAGATAATCTGCGAGTTTTGGAGTTAAGTCATGGGACGGTCACGACCAAGATACCCATTCAGGAATGCATGATCGGTCTTCTAGCTGTAATAACGATATCATTAGGTTGTATGTATGGGTGAAGGAATATGTCCGTGATCAATGTCATGTCGTGTCGAATGCAAAAGTCCAACGCTGCGCTGTACTATGCTGAGCTGTACCAAAGATGCCAAACCAACGCCGCGCTCGCTGAAAGTTACAGATTCCAAATTTCTCTTTTTGCCTAGCCAGCACTAGGCGTGTCATGGGCTAGCTTCTAGGACTTCAGTGTCCAAGTCGATGTCTGTGCGTGTAATGTGCTCGAAGAGGTTTGAGGTTGATGGAAGAGGTTCCTAACCACGCTTCCAGAACTGGTACTTCTTCTTTTGTGGCTTCTCGTTCGCTTCGCCGGCGACCATGTTGGTGTCCCTGATGCCGCCTGCCTCTGTGCCAGCAGCGTCCATGTGGTACGCCTTCTCGTTTCCTCTCTTCTTGCCCTTCTTGACATCTCTCCTTGACGCGCAGCAGCAGCAAAGCCCCATCTGTACTAGCCAGGCAAAGATGGCGAAAGCACTTGCCACCCACATGAAGGCGAAGAGCGTGGTGCCTATCTCTGCCGATATGTTCAGTTCAGCCACACCACCGATAGTGTTGCGGAAGATGATGAACATGACGGTTGCGATGACCGAGGCGACGGTTACGAAGAGGGCGTTGAGGAAGGCGAGGATTGCGACGACGAGGGTAAGCCAGCGCGTGTAGATGGAGATGGGCATGACGAAGATGAGGACGAAAGACAAGACTGTTGCGGTGAGGAAGAGACCGAACATCCAGTTGGAGACGAGATGAATAAGGTCGAGAATGTCGTTGATGTCGGCGGGAAGGTTGACTGTAGACATGCATGTTAGTTACTCTGTTTCCAATGCGTGATGTCTAAGAATCGGGACGTGAAGCAACTTACTCGAAGCCCCGGAAAGAAGCTCATTACGCAGGATTTGCACAGGGTTGAACCAGTATAGCGTCTTTGGCTCACTGCAGAAAGTCACGCCCTCACCCGCGTATCCCTCGCAGAAACCCCATAGTCCAACTTGATAGAAATCGTGCAGTCCCAGCGTTTGCGCGATAGTGTTGATAAGAGCGAAATTCGGTACGCTGGCAGGCACGATGTGGCTCAGGTCGAGGCGAATGAAATACCAATTCTTAATAACGGCCTTGTTGCGCACACCGGAGATGTTGACCAGGATCAGGAAGATGAGTGTGATGAAGAGGAAGAAGGATGTGATCAGCGCCCATATTTTGCGTGTGCGAGTTGCGCGCTTGATTTGTTCTTTGCTGAGGTCTGGGGCGGTTTGCGTGACGGCGGTGTCGTCCGACTTGCGGCGGCGCGAGAAGATGCCCATGATGGACGACTCGGGAATTTCCAGGCGTTGAAAGGGAGAAGAAGCAAGGCGTGCTGCAGCGGAGGATTGTGAGAGAAGAAAGTGAACAAGCAATGACTGGGCCTCAGACGAACGACGTAGAGAGCGCAGATCCGAAACGTTTCGTCGATTGAATGTCCAGGCCAAGAATGCCTTGAATCCGGGGCAACGCAATCTCCTACGCGCGTGCAGCAGCAGCAGTCGTGTATTTTATGGAGCCTGGTCGAAGATCGCGAGCTATGACGTACGGGACCCCTAACAGCAAAACTAGACACCGCAAGAAGGCGCTGGCGACGCGGCGCCCTTCTCACCAACGACACTCATCGGCACTAGGCCACGCGCCTAAGACACCAGAGGGCAAATCATTGTGCGCGACTGAAGCACCGGCGTGGCGCACGTTTGCTATGAGCAAGGTCTGGCCGGTACGCGCGTGCGTGGCTGGTCATGACGTTGCGCTGGGCACTGTTTACAGGCGATGGTTGGGGGTGGAGTTGACTACTGTGTGGCTGTGCTTGCCCGACTGTGGTGTGGATAAAATGGAGGACAATACATGTAAGAGTGAGATTTTCGCGGGTAATAGAGGAGCGGCGTCGATGATCTACGTGGATAATGCTCTCGATGATGGCGCAGGCGGATGCGGAAGGATGCGAAATTGCGCTAGGCTTCGGATCTGCGCGGCCAGACAGCAGAGGGGGCATCGCGAATCCACACTATTGCATGGCTCGACGTTGAGGCTCCTTACTAGACAAACTCGTGTTCGGGCGGCTAGCATCACTAGTTACGTCTGATGCACAACATCACGCGTGGCCAGTACGATGCGCTTGAAGTAATGTTTTTTCTTTCCATTCCTCTATGTGCTCTGCTAGATGTTCCACAATCACTCAAGCCTCCACGGTCTCCAAACCACCAAGCTGCCCTCCACATCTCAACTTCGCCATGTCGCAGCAACGCAGAAGAATAAAAATTAGACATTGGTAAACGCCAGCCCATCGCTAAACCGCCCTAGAAACGAGTAATCTGCCGGTCATTCGTTGCACAACCGCGATGGAGAAAAATAGGAAAGTGCACTAGACGGACCGTCTGTACAGGTTGTTGCTGTGATGTGAAGATGGAGAGTAGCCAACGCGCGCTGTGTCTATGCCACGATACCAAGGAAATCATCAAGGCCGCTAAAAAGCAGTGTATAGAGGACAAGTTGACATAATGAGCTTTTAATGTTCGGTCGAGTGTGCGGAAAGCTCAGCCAGCGAGCAGGATGTCTGTCGTCAAAGATGTGTGCTGAGGAAGTCGCGACTAGTTTAGGCGCCCTCTACCATGTTCATCCTGGGTTTTAATTGCACCATGAAGTCATCCTTGGTACCCAGAACGTCCCTTGGTATCCTGCTGACACGGTTGGCTCCGCTGCGAACAGCAAATCGGCCAACTGCCGAGATGCCAGAGTGATTTGATCGGATTGAGCCAGCATCTGAGGCACCGCCACCGGCAGGGTCACGTATACGAGCAGGTGGTGCGAAATCGAGCGCAGTGAAGGTACCCGACTTGCGCATCAAGTAGGGACTGGGTAGCGCTGGCAGTTCGTCGTAGGATCCGACGAGGGGTGTGTGTGGTCGTACGGCCGGGCTGTATGGCCTGGGAGTTCCAAGAGGGCTGTCAGGTCGTACGCCGTTTTGCCTCTCGCGGAACGAGACTGGCGGTGCAAAGTCGGCGGCGTCGAAAACCATGGAGCTCTCGGTAAGCTTAGCGGGTGTTGGGAGAGAGGACAAAGCGGATGGAGGAGGCAGCGGCTTCTTCATTGGCGGAGGCAAGCGTCCGCTCATTGAAGACATGCCACGCGGAGGTGGATATTGTGAGGAAGCCATGGAGCCGTTAGACATGTGCGGGCCACGAGGACCAGTGGCAGTGTTGCTTCGGAACCGGGGAGGAGCACGCGGGGGAGGAGTCATGGCACGACGAGTGATGGGCTCAGCGAACGGAGCGTTCGGCTGAGCGACAACGAAGGCACCGGTGCGAGGGTCGAAGACAGTGCCGTCTTGGTACTCCGAGCCGTAGTCTTCA